TACGCTTGGTTAATTCAGAGTAACAGATCTGCCCCCAAGTGAATTGGAGGCCTTGAATTAATTCTGTTATGACAAATCAAGATAAACGTTCCCCCTAAATTGCATGCGATTTAATTAATTTTTGAGATCCTGGGTTTTTTTTTTTTTTTTTTCCTAGCTAATAGTTCACATGCTCCTGTGCTGTCATTGTGCTTGAGTGGGCAGACTTCAAAGTGATATTAAATAACCAACTATTAGATTTACCTAGCACGTCCTATTGGAAAAGTGCCATTTAATTACCTAGCCTGTTCAATTAAAGGGACAGCATTCTCTGAATATAGCAGCTTGCTGTTGATTACCAGGGAAATGAACTCGCTGTCTGGCGGCGCCTCCACTCCTAACGCCACCCCCTCCCCAAACACACCCTCCACCACCAACTACCAATTCTCCCCACCCTCGCTCCAGGCCCCCACCCCCGGCCGCGCCGCGCTCACTGCGGCTGCGGGCGCCACGTGAACCGCCCGAGCAGAGCTCGAGGAAAAAAAGCGCGACCTGCTAGTCCGGCTCCCGCCCTGCGCTCGCCCCCTCGCGGGCCCGAAGCCGCCCGCCGGCTGGGCGCTCTGACTGCGGCCTCGGGCGGCGCCGGCCCGGGTGCGGACGGCCCAGCGAGCGAGGGCCCGCCGCCTACCGCCACCCGAGCTTCCGGCGCGTTTCCTCGCCCTCCCCGGACCTGAAGCCCCACCCGTCGGTCTCCGAACTTCCTTCTCTCGCTGCACTTTCCGCGCCAGTCTTCGGGCCCGAGGTGGGGGTGGAGGAAAGAGGGTTTGAGAAAAGAGAAACGGAGTTTCCAGAGCTACTTGGGGCCCTTGGGTGGAGCTGAGGGGTCGGGAACCGGAGGTGGGGGAGGGGGCAGTCTTAGGACAAAGTGGGGGGCATGCAGACGTTGGTCCCTTTAAGACCCACCCTCCCCCTCCGCTCTACAACCCCCGCTTCATCCTTTTCCCTCCCTCTCTTAGAGGCCAATTTTGTTAATTAAATGTTTTGTTTGCGACGCAGCTCTCATTCATTGCGGACACGTCATTCGGAGCAGATCTAAGCCAGAGACCAGATCTCATTAGATAAAGCCCATCAGAACTAAGAAAATGGAGGAGCCACTAATTAAAGCTTTTAATTGTGCGGATTCGCCGCAGCAAGGCAGCGGCTTTATCTGAAATCTTGGAGGGAGAGGAGGCAGAAGCCCAGCTCTGCCCAAAGACACTTGGCCGCAGAAGGGGAGGGGACTGGTGAAGGCGCCCCCTCCTCTTGCAGCCCCCTCCCCCGTCCTCTGGCCGGCCTTTCCCGGCTCTCCTGCAGCTTTTTTAGCTAGTCCTTGTTTGTTTTCAAAAAACCACAGTCTGAGTCAGACACTTTAAAAGCCCCTAAGCTCCGTGGTCTCAGCCGGACCTAGGGGTCCCCTTCACCTGGCGGTGCGCGAGCAGATTACTCCACTCTTCATGGTCCCTGCGGCATTGAGAATTTCTCCAACAAGTGGACTTGAGGGAGATTGGGGAGGGGATAACTGAGAGGAACAAGAACGTCTGCGCTTCCCCACTTTCCCACCCTTTGGGCATCTTGATGGGCAGAGAGAAGGAACACTGAAGGAAGACTTCAGTAATCTCTTTAATTGGAGGGGAAGAGGGGCTCAGCTGCTGGTGAGCCCTGAGCAAAGTGTGAGGCCATCAATCTGGTACTGAGCTAGAACTCATCTCTCCTAGAAAGATCTAAGGTCCTCGGGGTAGCATCTAGTTCAAGAGGAAGCCTGGCTCCAGTTTCCAGATTCAGAGGGAAAAAAGGAAGTAAGAACATAGATCCGATTAATTAAGGCTCAGGGCTGGGCACATATCCTCCACTAGTCCATTAGGGCATAGGAAAACACCAAAACGTCATTTACATTTGGCCCCAAGAATAGAGAATGGCATGGACACAATTCCCAGGGAGCCACTTGCCTAAATTTGTCTTGGGGGAATACAAGTGGACCCATCTTCTTTTTAATTAGTTGTAATCAGAAGCGACGGTGTTTTTTTTTTTTTTTTTTTTTTTTTTTTTTTTAAGGCACTTGGAGAAGAGATGAATATGTACCATTCACGGAATCTTAACTCAATTTTTCCACTTCAAACCACACTCCTTTTTTTTTACCACAGTTTTGCTTTCTATTTAATTACAATACTGTCAAAGCTCATGGCATTGCTTGGAAGGAGGACCAGAAAGCATTACCCATGTTCCCTCTGATTTTCCAACATTTACTTCTAAAAGAACACTTAGTGAAATTAATGCTGCCATCTTAATTTAAAAATAAAAGCCCTCTCCCTTCCTGTATTTCTTTTACTTGACTGATTGAGGATGCCAGCAGAGTGGACACAGGTTGTATTATCAAAATAACTTAATGTCATTTAACTCCATCATTTTACACTAATGATATCACTGGGGTAAACATATCCACACTCAGCTCCGAACTGCACTGGGATCTTCTGCAATATTAGCCGCAGAGTAAGGTGAATCACAATGGAGTTAAACTTTGAAGAAAATGTCTCATCCATTGATTAACCCACACTGAAGAAGAAAATTGTCTACTAATCACTTACAAGAAAAAGGTTTAGGACAAATTTACATAGGATGAAATTCTTCTTAAAAGTGCGATTTTCTAGTATCAACTGTGTGCGTGTGGGTTTTTTTTTAATTACTGGATGTTGAAACAGAACACCTCTTAGAAGCATTCATGTGCATCAGTCTATCAAACCATTTACTCAAATTAAATGTGTAATCCTTCAAATGCCTCCTTTCAAATTAATGAGTTTAAGTAGCTTGAGTTCACCTGAAAAGATCCTATAGGCACCTGACCTCCTGAATGCTTTCCATTAATTGCACTGCAACTTGTTGGAAAAGACTGCTTACATGGACATATGAATGTTCCTATACATTGCTTTAAAATGCAAGATTAGTATAATTCTATAGCCTCTTTTTCTAAATCTCTGTTGGGGATCAAGGGCAGTGATACAAACGACAACAACAAAAAAAACCCAAAACCTGAACATGCTTCAATTGAAAAAAACTGCAAATTCTACATCGCAAACTACACACTAACTGAATTATTGCAAGCCTATGCATAACACTATGAAGAGAGACATTACCACTAGGTTTTATTTCTTGGGGGTTTTTTCTCTGTAAGAATTAACAAGTCTTTAAACTGATGGATAATTAGCATTTTTCACAAGGAGCACAAAGAACCAATCAACAACTTTCCACTCAAAAAAAGTTTAAAGATACTTATGTAAATATCATAATAAGCCATCACCATAGACAAATCATTTCTCAAAAACTACACTTGTATTTTTAAGTCAATCTTTGTCTCCGTGGGTTCCTACCGCGTTTTAAGAACGCAGCTAACTCCCGCTTGAAATGTTTGCTTTTAGCCTAAAGTCCACTTGAGGCTGACCACTTAAAACTCTGGGACCAGAGGGTGCTCAACCTTTGCACATCTAATGGCCCAGTCCCACCAGACGGTCTTTACTTAGTATGGCATTTGCCATTAATTTGCCATCAGATATTGGAAGACTAACACATGCTTCCTGAACCCCTTAAATTCCGTCAACTAGAAGATTTTTGAGGTGAAGGCTGCAATGTATTCCCATAGGTGCCTACTCCTTTCCTCACAACCCTGTTAACCTTTGGCTTTGCCATTGCTCTGCTCGCCCTTCTCCAGGAAAGGCAGCAAAGCCTTACCTAATGTAGTCATTTCTGCAAAGGATCATGCCGCTCTTGGTGTAACAGGACGTGCCGATGTCGCCCAGTTGCGCCTGGCAGCAGGAGCACTTGAGGCACCGGCTGTGCCAGTAGCTGTCCATGGCATAGAGCAGAAAGCGGTCCGCAATCTTGCCCCCGCAGCCTGCGCACCGCTTCCAGGAGAGGGAGCCGGCCGTCACCGGGGGCGGCTGCGAGCTGCTGCCCGGATTCACCATGGTCTGCAGAGGGCGGGAAGGGGACAGGGAGAGAAAGACAAAACAGGGGCGATGCAAAAGTTAGTAATCGCCGGAGGAAGAGCAAGCCCATTCCCCTCCTCCCCGCAGAGCTGCTGGAAGGAAGCAGCAGGGCAAGGGCGGGAAGGAGGCTGAGAGGGCGAGGGAAGGAGGGAGGCTCGCCGGCAGCAGCCGCCTGTTTACTTTTCTCAAGCTTTGTTCTGGGGCCACGAGCTCCTCTCAACTTTCCTGCGCTTGCCGCGGCTGACAATTTCAGCTCCGGTACTGTCAAAACTCCGAGAGCAGGATTCGCGGCGCGCTCCACCCCTCGCGGCGCCTCCTCCCAGCCCCCGCCTCCGCCCACTGCCCCCTCCTCCGCCGCCGCCGCCCGCCTCCAGCAAATGAGGGTCAAACCCACCCACCGCCGCGCCCGGCCCCTCCCCAACCCCCGCCGAGCCCCGGGAGAGAGCCAAGGGGAGTGGGGAGGCGGCGGCCCCGCCGGAGCCTCGTTCCCTCCCGGGCGCTGGCCTGGGAAGTGCAGCTGCAGTTCACAAGTTGGAAATAGTTCGGTTTTCCGAAAGAGAAGGAGGGAGGGGCGAGCAAACGGGAGATGGAGAGCGTGGTGGTGGGAGGGAAGGCAAGGTGGCGGGAGGGGGGTGCAGTGTGTAAAGTTGCGAAACTGGTTTTTCGTATTTTAAGCAGCACCTTTCACATGCCATTGTGGTGACCGCCATCTCCCATTATTGTTCCAAATCTCATTTCAGTTTGAAGATCAATGAGTGTTTTCTCTGGGTTTTCAGGACACAGGCAAGAATAATAGATCATTGAACTTTAGGATGCCTGTTAACTTCCTATACAAACACTCTCCACTTTGGTCTCACTAATCTGCCCTTGATCAGCAATTTAAATGCTAAAGCTTTGTTCCTCCAAAAGGGGGGTGGGGGGGGGCAGTGTTACAGATAATGTGCGAGAAGGCACCATTAAGGGATGCACAAGTTAAATTCGGGCCCGTCCTGCCGTCACCAAAAACTGCTTTAAAAAAAAAATTCCCCACTCTTTCTAATGAATGCCACAAGAGATGCAACCGGGGTATAATATAGGAATCAATTTATAAAGCTTAGCCTAAACCGATTAATTTGTTGCCTTCAATCCCGAGTCCAATAAAGTCCTAGTGTTCCTCCAGTCACTTATTCTATAAAAAGATCAAGTTATTTACTGCCAATTAAGCAGACTGTTTTGTCTTTGTCCTCAGTAAGCTGAGAGTGTGGGCTCCCCCTGAGGCTCCCGGCTATCTGCTCAAGACATTCAGCTGATACCTCAGAAGAAGGCGAAGTTTGCCTGTCCCCGGCCCAACTTGGCTGCTGCAGAAAAACGAGGAAGATGGAACGAAACAAGGACTCCGGTTCCTTAAATAGGCCGATTTTAAACACATTTCCTCCGAAAGAGTCCCGGAACGTGTGTCCAGTGACCGCACAATAAACCAGAATAAGAAATGCACCAATTAAGCTGTAACAAAACCCTGAGACTTTGGAAACAGGACCACTCTAAAACCCATTAGCATTGCATTTATCCGAATGCATCATACCTTTATGTAAATTGATTTATCTGATGCATTTACTCGAGGAATTGCTTTTTGTTACAGTTTCAGCCCTAACCCAAATGAATCTGCATTTCCTGCCCTAGGTCTTTAAACTGTTCCCCCCCCCCACCACGTTTTAATCGCTCCGAATTCCTTTTTAAAAGGAGAGGGAGGGAGGAGATTCCAAGCTCTTCCCCGCCCCCATCTTTAGTGAGAGGTAAATATATATGTTTTTTTTGAAAAGGAAACATTACACTGAGAAAAGCATCCAGTAACCCCATTAGCTAAAGCTCTTAAGGACAAGCAATACCTTAATGCTGATTAAATCTAAAAGAGATGAATCAAGAGGACTGACCAGAAACTGACTCCCCTGATAACTAAGGACGGGCCCTCATCAAGTTTCATTTAGAGTTGGAAAAAAAAAAAAAAAAGAAAGCTTTTAAGTTAAATAGGTTTATACTCTAGTAATTACATAGCCAAGCAATTTAGGTCCTGGGATAGTCAGTGAAATAGAAAGCAGAACTGGCAGCTAGAGGCAAAATCTGCCCCCCTTTAACAACATCTCTGGTGTTTTTTAATGGAGACCAAGGGAGGGACAAACGTAACGCTGGCAATTTGTAGTACAAAAATGGATGCTTAATTCATGTCTTGATTTTAATTAGGTGATTCACCGGATTTCTCCTGGATTGGAACAAAAGACGTATAAACCAAAAGGAATTTTTTAAAAAGAACCAGCAATACCGAATCCTGCTCACTTAGCTCCTTCCTGCCACTGTTTCAAAAATAGTATTTACTAGAAGGGGGGGTATCGTGACTACTCCCACCCCCACTCCCCCCAATACACTACTTCTCATACTGAAATCCTCATCTAAGTACCCCTTGCCTTTCCCTTATGAACCAGAAATATCCCCACCCCCTCTAGGGTCCCCACCAGCCCCGTTTCCAAGAAGAGCCCTTTTGTAAGCAGGAACCGCTACAAAGCTGGCGGCCCCGGGCTGCCCTCCGCGCTAGCTTGCAGGCCGGCCTCGGTAGTTTCAGACTCGCGCTTTATCTAAGCCGACGTATTGTTTACTTGCAATTTGGGACGGTCAGGGTAAGGAAGCCAAAGAAAACAGCCCTGGCCCGAATCGGCCTCCTCCCTCCCTCTCCCCGCTCCCGGCCCGCGGCTCCCCAGCCACCCACTTACCTGCTTTTCCCCTATATTGCAATATTGCGAGAGGCGGCGGCGGCGAAATGCGAGCGAAGCCGCTCGGCTTCCAGGGAAGGGGCGCCTGGGCTGGCGGCGCTGTAAGGAGGGAGGGAGTTCTCGCAGAAGCAGGAAAGGGGAGGAGGGGGCTAAGGGCGGCTTTTTTTTTTTTTTTTTTTTTTTAAAAGCGTTGCTCTGGGCGGGTTGGGGAGCCCCGCGTAAGTGGCAGGCGGCCGGGAGCAGAAGTGTCAGTCTCAGTCCTCGTCCTTCTCCTCCGCCTCCGGCTGCGCGCGAGCAGCTGCAGAAGCCCTCGGCCCGCACGGCGCGGCTTCAGGCGCGGCGCAGCGGCAGCAACTGCTGCAATCGCTGCTGCAAGTTTGGCAATGTGGCTTCACTTTGTATATTCCCCCGCCCGGCGGCCCCCGCCCCCGCCCGCGCTCCTCCCGCTCCTCCTCCTCCGCTGCCACCGCCTTCCTCCCTCCCGCGCGCTCGCTCGCTCGCTCCGGGCAGGCAGCAGCGGCTCGACTGAGCTCCCTGCACCTCCGGCCCGGAGCAGCCGCAGACACAACAGTCCCGGGAGCGGCGGCGGACGGTGCGGAGGCCGGTAGGCGGGCGCGCCCAGGAGTCGGGGCTGCGGCCGGCCGGGCCCGGAGCGCTGGAGCCTGCGCCGCTGCCGGGGCTGCTGCTGTCCGGCTCGGAGGCGGCGGCTGCGGCGCTGGCCTCTAGCCGGCTCGCTCGCTCCCTCCGCGGCTCTTACACATGTGTTACTGACAGAGCAAAATCCCAACTACTCCCCGGCTCTGCCGCCGACGTCAGCGACCCTCAGCCACTGGGCGGCCGGATTGTTCAGGCGGAATAATAAAACCTGCCAATCCGGGGAAGGACAAAGGGATGACTGAAACGAGACTCGGGGGGCGGGGGAGAGAGCTAGGCGGCGGAGCGGGCCGACAGAGGAGAAGGGAAGGGCCCGAATCAGGTGGAGAGAAGTGACCTGGGTGCCTGGCGCCGGGGACTCGCTTGGGCTGCCCTTCGCGACCCGGGATCTGAAGCCAAGATGCGAGGGGGCCGCCACCTGCCTTCTCAGCGCTCGGGGACCCTGAGGACCCGCGCCCGCTTGCCCCTCGGGGACTGCCATCCCCTCGATCCGAGAGGGCACCCTTAGGAAACTTCTCATCTTTCTCAGAAATGGGTCTCTTCCTGTTTGGGAAGATAAGTCCTGCGTCTTAGGGCAGTGGACTTCTGTCCCCCACATGCACACGCACACCCACAATACAGAAGAGGATTTTTGTTGTTGTTTCTTTAATTCACGACATTGGAGATTTGTGAATCGTAGTGGAAGCTTAGTTAACAAGGTAGAAAGATAAGGGAAGTAATAGTTGCTAGCTAAATGCTTCCTGCTTACCCTCCCTCATCCCCCCCCCCCATTTACCCGAGTATGAAAGTGCCTAACAGACATTTCATAGGTCCTTGTCAATTGCTAGTGATGTAGGAGCACGGTCCTTATTTTAAAAGTTGACGAAAACTTCAGGGAGAAAGACTTGCCCGACCACCCTCCTCACTGTGGAGGATGAGAGGCGGAAATTCTCATAGCCCCCCAAAGCAATGGATGTAATTGCAAGATTTGCAATCTCACAGCCTCCGGAGAGTAAGAAATGTCACTTCTACTATAAATCAGGTTTTGAGGAATGCTTTTAGGGTGCTAGCCTGAGAGTCTTTTTCCAAGGCCGAAGCACAACCTAGATGCTTGAGTTACCTAGGCATTAGACTTTACTCTGCTAAATAGGTTTAATAAATCTCCAAACTGAGACTAATATTAGGCCTGATTATTGTTAGTACGTTCCAGAGAGATTATTCTGGTGGAAATTATCATGAAAGTGCAAAGCCCTTCTGCTAAGTATCATTAAGTAAAACCAGCCTTGTGGGACAAGTTTTCATATTGTATTACACACAGTACTGCCAGATTGAGGAAAGGAACCTGAAGGAGAATCTGGTGAGACAATGCAGATGTTGAACATCTATGGTTTTAGTGTCTATTTGGGGGATTTCTGTCTTTCAAACCGTCAAAATGATTAAGGCTGCATAAGAAAGAATAATTATTGCCCATACAATCAGGTAGAGGGCATTTTAAATATCAATTCGAATACTCATTTTTAAATTCTATCTTCTTAAAATTAAATGAATTAATTTTATTGATTTGTATTTAAAATTGCACTGTTATGATCAATTCACTTTGTGTGCATATAAAAAACATTTTTAATAGTAATTAAAATATCCTACACAGAAAACAGCTGCAGATGGGCATGATTAATTAAGGACAAACTTAGAAAAGATGTAATGCTGCTTGAAGGTTAGTCAAGAAAAACCAAATGAGGAAAGGAACCCCATAAACAAATAATACATTTGAACTCCCTGATTCATTTTCAATTTGTTAATAATTTACAATAAAATGAGATGACACGAGATCTTAGTGGGAGCTACAATTAAGTTATGATTTGTTATGTGCAAGTAAATTTCCTTCTCTGGGCTTACTTTTCTCATGTACAAATGAGAAAATTAAGCCAAATGGTCTTTAGTTTTCCGTTTTTAAAATGATTTTCTTAGATAGAACACATAATGCATAGATGTATAATGAACTGTGGTACTTTTCAGTATTTTTCCTGAACTATATACGCTAAAATGAAATCTTAATTCCTGAAGGGAATGTGAGAAATTTAACCAGATACGTGTTCAGCCATCACTGAGTGATTATCCAAAGGATCCCAGTAGTTGCTTGTGGAAGGAAGGAAAGTGAGATGGCTAAAACTTTGAATACAGAGCTCTAGGCTGCAAGGGCCTACATTTTAGGAGGTGCTTCAACTCTAATTCTGTGCGGAGTGAGGTCTTTAAATATGTCCTGGTAGATTAGAGTAGGTGGGAGTGTATTACCAGAAAGCTTTATTTGCTGATGTGTGGTTATAGAAATACAAAAGCGATAATGGCTAACAGTCTCTTCTGAGAGGTAGGGAGTAAATACACTCGCTGTAATCAAAATTCAAGTGTACTTTAACCACAGCGCCACCTCTCGGTAGTCTTTATTTCTGCATTCTTTGCGTTTAGCAGTCCTTTCTCATCCTGATTTGTGGTCTAAAAGTGCCTGGTTGAGTGGGTAGCAATGTCAATCTTTTATTTCCACTGATGCGAGACACAAAAACCGTGTAAACACACACAAATTCATTATGGGTAAAGAAATTCTGTATTTGGGTATTCTTCAAACAAATTTTAACAGTGCATAAAGTGATATTCCTGGTATAAAGTAAAATTGTCTAACTCAAAATAATGTTATATTGTGCCCCACAGTTCAAGAAACCTCTGCTGATACCACGCATTAGTCATTCAGCCTACTCATCTGCAATGATATAAGAGTATGAGGCTTTGAAAAGAAAGATAACATGTAAATGGTTTCTTTCTTGAATCCTAATTAAATGTGGGAACTATATTGATCTTAGATCAAGCCCCCATTTTTTCCACTTGCCCCAGAATTCTTTGTTCATAGTATCCTTTCTGGCTTATGTCCTTCAATCATAATCATTCTTTTCTCCAAGTGACAGTTCTCTAAGAATCTCCTCTGGACAGCCAGAGATTCTCCACAGACCTGTGTAGCCTTTAATGTCTGGAGAGAGTCTAGACTATTTGATGCTGATGTGACCTCCAAGACAACACGCCCCAGCTCTCTCTCAGGAAAAAATATTCTGTCCTTTTAATGTCAATGCAAAACCGTTTTTGAAGAAAGTCTTTTTAGGAAGGAAATTTTTTTTAAAATCTGCTCACCTTCAGCTTTATTGCTGTCATCACAGAGATCCCTTGATATTGAAAGTTTCCTCCAACGTGAATACAAAAAGCTTGAGTCTAGGACAACAATTCCAAAGTGTAAAATGTGTGGAGCAAAAAGCGAACAGTAGAATCCAAGGAAGTGAACAGACAGAATCCAAGGAAGAGGAAGGGCAGGTTAGGTCCTGGGACAGTTTTTTTGTGGTGGGGAGTATGGCACAGTAAGTAGAGTCAGGGACTTGCTGCTTCATTTAAGGAATTTACAGCCACAGTGGCCCATACCTGTAATCCCAGCACTTTGGGAGGCTGAGGCAGGCAAGTCCCTTGAGTTCAAGACCATCCTGGGCACCATGGCAAAACTCCATCTCCACTAAAAACGCAAAACTTCAGTGGGGTGTGATGACATGTGCCCAGAGTCCCAGCTGCTTGGGAGGCCTATGTGGGAAGATCACCTGAGCCCTGGAAATTGAGGCTGCAGTGAGCTGTGATTGCGTCACTGCACTCTAGCCTGGGCAATGGAAGTAAGGCCCTGTCTCAAGAAAAAAAAATAAAGAAAAAGAAAAAAAGGAGGAGAACTCAACATCTTGAAAATCCTATATTTCAAAGAACCATATCTTGGCTTGAAAACTGATATTTAATAATACTTTGATTTTACTGACTGCCTTTTTAGTCTTTCTGAAAATTCTTTATAAATATCTCACTAAATGTTTCGTATGATAAATGTTTCTAATAGTTGCCTTATTAGAATATTTTTATTTGTTTTTTGTCAAAGCAATCCAGATGATGTTTGTAAGTATCCCACCAAATTATGTTAATCAGTATTAACTACTATTTTTAAGGTAATATATAAGCATAGTGAAAAAGTTTGATATTATGGCAATAAAATAACAGATCACTGAGGAAAAGGAAACAGCATTGACATTGTTGTCATTGGAAATAGAATTTAAGATGTAGATTTTGATTTTAATTATTCTATTTGATTAAGGCCTTTGAAACCCCTGGAGTTGATGGAAAGATGAGAAAGAAAATAGGAAGGAAGAAAACACCTCTGTGACCCAGCATTTTGCCTGATTTCGCAAGACCACTTGAAAATAGTGTCATGAATGACTCATTGTCTTCATACAGTTTATTACCGTAGCAGCAGGATGTTACAAATCCCCCACATTTGCCTCAGAACTATCAGCAAATCTTTTTTTTTTAGACAGTCTCCCTCTGTCTCCAGGCTAGAGTGCAGTGGTGCAATCTCAGCTCACTGCAACCTACCTCCGCCTCCTGGGTTCAAATGATTCCCCTGCCTCAGCCTCTCAAGTAGCTGGGACTACAGGTGCACACCACCATGCCCAGCTAATTTTTGTATTTTTAGTAGAAACGGGATTTCACCATGTTGTCCAGAATGGTCTTGATCTCCTGACCTTGTGATCCGCTCACTTCGGCCTCCCAAAGTGCTGGGATTACAGGCGTGAGCCACCACACCTGGCCATGTTAGTGTCAGTTTTAATTCTAGTGTTGATATAATTAAGCTTTTTCTTTGTGTGAATTTGTTATAAGATGTATTTCAAAGTACAACATTGTTTTCTATTTGTTCACCCAAAAAAGTTGATGAAAATATGATAATATTTATATTATGATAACGTAACATCACTATTCATCCAATTGTAATGAATGACCCTGTTGGAATTAGGGAAGTATAATCCATAGCTGTCCTTGCACTTGAAAAGCACACATTTCTACTCTATATAGAGCCATAAATTTTTTATAATAAAAAGAACAACCAGATATGGATTTTTTTAAATAATAAAATTGAATAACTCAATTGACTAAAATGTGTTCCCTCCACACAGAGGTACACATTATAACGTCATCATTTATATTTCTCAACATAAATCAAATTTCATAATAAAATTGTTTTTGATGAATCACCACTTCTTTTCCAGCTTCCAAACATTCTGACAGTGAA